AAGTTACCCAAATCACATGCCAGCTTTTTCAGCTGAACTGTAATATATTAAAACCACTGCTTGTTCCTTATGGGGAAAGGATGGATTGAACACATTTGTCTCCAAAATGCAAGGGCTGCCATAAGTCAGCATTTAGCATGTTGCATAGAATAGCTCAAGGTAAATAGTTTAAAACTAATAATATGTACCCATTGTCCTTGGAGGGATTAGGCAATCTAGTAAATCTTTTACATCCTTACCTTTTTCCTGAATTTTCTCCATAAATGTGATACTTTTTACATGGCCGTGGACAAGGGTTGCGTTGTTTGCATGGGAGATGGGACGTGTTCCTTAATGGAGAACTGCACGGCAGAGCTGCTTTGAGACCATTTCTGGGACACTGGGGAGGGACAGAAGAAGCAGCTGCTGCCTCTGCTGGGCACCTCAAATCTTTAGTCTGGTCTGGGACAGTTTTTCAACCCTCATTTGAAACTGACACTCGTTCAAACACCTGGCAAGTGTGAACATACCTGGCGTGGCAGTCAGGTGAGATGTTCGTGTCTCAGCATCCTGGTTGTTGCAAAAGAGTGCGCTGGCCCTGGGGTGTCTGCTCCCCCAGTCTGCCCTCACTCACATTAGTAAGTACCTCCCCAAAACAGAGGTGACACACAGGTCAATGAAGGTCGCACGTCCAGCATCCGGACGTCTTCAGTTCCTGTCTGTGGCCATAGGATACCAGGATCTTTGCTGCCCTCTAAGGAGAACAGTCCCAAACAGCATACATCTCCTCGATTCACATGTCCAAGCGACGTTTCTCTTCCCTACATTCTGTTTTCTCATGCCCATTTGGCTTCTGCTGCTTTGATTTACTCCTTCCTGAAGACCTGACCTGCTCAACCTGCTTAGCATCTTTTTACCTATTCATTTTCTTCTTCCATGAGGACAGAAGAATCAAGAGAAGGCTTTTGTGGCACCTCTTTTTCTGCAGTGGAAATAGTGCCCTCCTCTGACACCACTGGTTCAAAATGCCCTTTGTCCTGCACTGCAGTCACAAGAGGTATTTGCATTTCCCTGCATTTGGACAGTTACCTTATCGCTTGCCCTGCTTTGAGCAGGAGGTTGGACTGCTCTCTTTAGCATCTGAGAGAAAGAAAACTACAGTAGATATCAGGAGAAATCTTCATGGAGAAGACAGATCTGAACATCGATACACTTTCCCTAGAAAAGTGCTGCAAGTCCTGTTTCTTTTCAACCATGACATGGAAAAATTATTGGAAGTACTTCATCTATGAATCTCTGGGCTCCCAACTGGGAGAAAGCTAGAGGATCCAATAGGATTTTTCCATCTCTGACTTTACAAGTTGAAGAAATGGAGGTTTATCTTACAGGACAGACCACATGGGAGCTGGCCTGCAGGAGAGCTCATCCAACTTCACTGACATCACCTCTCCATCCAGAAAGTGCACAGCTCTGGACAACACGTAGGCACTGCCTACACTGACATGAAAGGCAGAATAGTGCCAATTATTAAGCATTAGAGCATAATCTTTATAAAAAATCAGTGAAATGCAAAAGCACGACCTCATAGGCCTCAGGAGTAGGATGAGACATTCGTGGCTTCTTCTGGTTATTTCTGGTTGTAACAATCAACTCGTTGTTACAGTATTCTTGGACTGTTATCTAGATTTTAGATATAGTACATTTTTTTGATACCTTCAGGAAAGTTTGCCCAGATTAATTAAAACTGTGGCCAAGTGGAAAAGTTTGGTTTCATTCCCACTGCTCATTTGCTCACAACTAAACTGGACACATTTTCTTCCACTTCCAAAAGAAGAGTGCCCACATAAGGTTTTTAAACAGTTTCTCTGGTCCACTGTAGGAGTTAACCCAGGTTAGCTTTCGTTGATGCCAGTTACATGGAAAAAGTGTTTGTTATCCAAGACTTGCTGCAAATTGCTCTGCGTGGGATTTCACCATCAGGCCTTTTGACAACTTGCACTATGTTTCCATTGCATTTTTGATATCACAGCTAGGTATTGATTGTATTACCTAAGCTGGTATCTGCTTTGGCTGCTTATTCTTTCACTGTGGTTATTTCAAGTCCTTTTTGAAGAAAGCAGCAGCTCAGTGTTGACTGCCTGTCCTTTTCCTTTCTCTGTATATAATGACTTTTTGTGAGTGGCAGCACTCCAACCATGACCTGATACTTTACTGTGTTAGAAGCAGAGGACCAACAAGGATTACCTGGACATCAAGTTCAGCACCTTGCTATTCTTCTTCAGAAATGTCCGTCAAATGCTGTTTTAAGGTAGAGTCGCAGAATCCCTTTGCTCCAATACCTTGAGACATGCTTTCAATGGCCGAGCTCTTGCACTGACAAAATGTGGCAGGATCAGACCTAGAGGGCAAGGGCAGAGCTCAGGGAGTGAAATCCAGTGCGAGAAACTGCTTCCCATTGATGCTTTTACTGGGCTACAGGAGGGAGCATTTGCCAGATCAGGGAAACTGAACCCCTGGGGTTCAGAGATATGTAGGGTAAGACATGCAGCGTGTGGCCCGGGGACTAGGCATCTGTATAAAAATGAAAAATTCTAGATAAAATAGTCATATGCTCCCTGCAGCTTTTAATCAACATTTGTACAAAATATTGCCAAACCCCTTTAAACTCAGCTCCAATGTGCGGCTCAGGACAAGGGACCCTTCTTAGAGTGCCTGACTTTTGTCATACCAATTTCTGATGATTCTTGGTCATAATCATTAACAATCTTTAGTCCCATTTCCACCCCACTAATAATGTAGGAAAACAGCATCTTTCTTCCAGCTGTCCTTAGCGAGACCATAGGAACCAACCCTTCTCATTCCCTCTGAGGTCAAGAGAGCGCAGCCTACCAAACCTTGATCTCAGTATCTATCCCCCAAAATCCCTTTTATCTATTCCTAAGGGGAGAAACCCTGTCTTCACCAAGCCTCCTTTCCGAGTGGATTGGGATCCTGTGTGAACACTGGCTCAGCAGTGGCTGTACAGCAGCAAGCAGAGACCAAGGTGTGCCCCCAGGATCTGTAGGATGGCATTAATAAGTGCTGTTACAAAGCCTTTGCAATCAGGCAAGGGAAAATACATAGCCTGACCATATTATATTCTGAGGGGCTGCAGAAGAGCAGACGATGAACATCTGTGTGTACTCAGAGACAGGCCAGTCGGTCTAATGCCACCAGAGACAGTCTGCAGGGAACAGAAGAGCGTGTAGGCGCTGCAGCAGCAGTGGCAGTGCCCCATGGAATGAGGAAATGGAAATCACCAGACCCAGTTATCTGCTTCTGACATGTGATGCTGCAAGTCAGCAAACTTGGGAGAAAACCAGAGGAAATAAGAGAAAATAGAAATTGTCACCCCGTTTCTGGGCAGGCATGAACAAATCTGCCCTGAGTAACAATGGAAATCCTCTCTTTTCTGTGAGTTTCCCTTTTTATGAAAAGGGGCACATATATATGACCGGGTATATATTGCAGTGGGACTCTGGAGGGGTCAGACAACTGTTTCTCCAGAGAGAAGAGTGAAGCAACGGTTCAGCTGCTTGTTCTGAGACTCTGCTTCAAGGTAAGCTCTCACCAGTGACTGCAATATTTAAAGTGTTTCCTTAGCTTCGGAATAAATACATCAGACAAAGGGTGGGCTGCAGTTGCTGAGCTCTAGCATACCCCGCCAAGGAGAAAAATGAGAGTTTATGCATGCACTGTATTTTGCAGCTATTTAACATTTTATGTTAAGGAGGGCAAGGACAGAAGGAATGACTTAGAAAAGAAATTCAAACATAGAACAGTAAAGATCTGGAGAATACGAGAGAGACACTTAGAGGCAGAAGAGACTGGAAGAAGCTTGGAAATTGTCACTACACGAACTAATCCCTGGTCTTTGGAAAAAAAAAATAAAATCAGGTGGGCTCCAGGACAAAATTCACTTCTGGTGATGCTGAGATCAAAACCTCAAAGAAGGAATGCTATTCCCAAAGGGAATAAACTACCCCACTATGAACTGGCACTCCCAGAAACTGGTCCACCAGATCCCACTAGATCTGAAGCCCTCAGCAGCTCTGGCAATGTGTCATCCCATCTGGAAAAGTCACCAAAACCTGGTGGGACACTCTGAAGTGGTGGCAGTGTTCCTGCTGCCCCAGCCAAATGTTGAACCTGGCCAAAGATGCTTCGGGGAAATGATCAGCATGGGAAGCCTTGGGAATGGATGCACAAGGAGATGCCTGATGTTGAACTGAGATGTCCGATTGTAGGAAAACAGATCCTGTCTTGGTTTTTTTAATTATTCATCTTGATGTTTGCAGTATCTCCTGCACGTCTTGGTCATCTATTTGAGGATGGATTATTGCCTGGGCTCCAGCAAGGTCTTGGTTAGCTAAGAGCAAACAGCAGGCATTGGGTTGTATCTGAATGCCCCTGCCTGCAGCACAGGAGTCTGACAAAGTTGTACAAGATGCCTTGAAGTTGCTGGGTGCAGACTCCCCTCCTGATTTGAGGGTGGCTAATGCAGCCGGCCACTCCTTTACACCTGATCTGGCAACATCACTTATCATATGAATTACTGCCAGTTGATTACAGCATGCACCAAGCAGATGGAGTTGGGTTTGTACCCTCTTTCATGTGCAAGGTTGGGAAAGGGTAGATTCAAGGTCTTATTTTGGCCCACTGACAGAGTTTGGCTCACAGCTGTAGGAAAGACTTGCTTCAAGGTTATCAGAAATGCTATAAAACACCTTGCATAATTAAGTTTCAGTTGCCAAGTCACCTGGAAAATTCACATCAAACTGTTGAATGGGGGGGGGGAGCTTATTGAGTACCATAACCCACCCATGACCTTGCAAAAAACCTCTGGAAAAACACAGGTCCTGGCTCCACCCCAGACAAACTTACTCTAAACCCTGTTTGAGAAATCTAACAACTCTGCCTTCCTGCAGATTATATATAAACCACCCTAAGGTCACAGCCAGTTTCAGACTGTAGTAGAGGCATCTGAAAGTCCTCTACCACTTTGGGGCTGCGAGCAGAGTCCTGTGAATAAAAATATTTATGTGCCGCTCTTTCACACGGTAGGTTGGTTTCTATATATCTGATATTAAGTTAGTTAGATATATTTTAAGCTCGTGGAGGGGGTGGTGCGAAAGGACTTTTCAGTAGCTTTTCTGCCTGGGCTGGGGCAGATACGGTCATGCTCTGCAGGGTACTGTAATAAGCCACTTCTTGTGGTTCGCTTTTCTCAGTTTTCAGCTTACTGGTCAACATGTTCCTGATCCAGTGCTAGTAAAGAGATAAAGGACCAGATATCTTGGGTCAGAGCAAGGGTATATTTAGCTCAATAACCTGGATCCAATGGAAATTAATAGATGAGGGTCAGGGAAAAGAATAAGGAAAGAGCAAATGTGCAAGGTGACTTTTCAAGCCTTCAGTAGCCCTCAGCTGAGACACTTCCCCAGCCAAAGGTGAGCTTTGTGTTTTAGAGGCCATGGCAGCTTTCTCTCCCATGAATCCTTTTAGCTGCTTGTCCTTCCTGCCTTATTTAAAATGATGATTATTTTAAAACCACTCTGTCGAATGTCTAGCAACGAAAATGGAAATATCACTGCTATCTCAAAGCCTGTGGTGCATCTGAAAGAAGGTAAAGCACCCTGCATCGCTGCCAGCATCACAGGGAATTTTTCAGCAGTTTTCTCCAAAAAGAGCTGACTGCTGAAAATCATGTCAACACCTGAGAAAGACAAAACAGGACCTATTTCTGTTCAAGAAATAGAAAATCCTGCACCAGCGCCTTTTACTGTACAGGAAAAACAATCAGCAAAGCTAAAGATGTGGACCAGCAGGAATCCTGTGCAACTGTGGGAAGAGATGCCCCTCAATATCTGCATTGCTAGAGCAGCAGCCAGGGTGCCAATGAGATAGAGGCGTTATCCCTCGTGCTTGCTGCTACCATCTCCTCGGCCCCTTCTCGTCTGTAAGTTCACTGTCTGGGGTTGGACAACCTGAAAATGCAAGCTGAGCAGCAGGACACACATTTCCCAATGTCAGCCGAGAGCCAGGACCCCAAGCTGGACCACTTTGGGTTAAAGATCTGACCTAACTTTACGAGAGATTGATCCTGCTGTGAGCACAGAGGAGTTACAGAAGAGCTGCATATCTCTGTGAACTTGGATGGGGCCAGAGACATGTAGGAAGCGCAGTATCACTGTTAATTCCCTTCCAAATCCCCTGCAAGACTAAAGCCCAGCTCAGCATTGTAGGTGGCTGAGCAGAGTATGTGACCAGCTGCAGGTCCTCTGCTGTGGGAAGGTCCTCAGAGCAGAAAGGAGCAAGATGGTATTCTGAAACAGGGGCTTCCAGCCCCTGGCTTGCTTCAGGCTTTTTTCTCCAGTGCCAACACAAAAGCTGAGCTCTTGGCCAACACGGGTATTTTGGAAAAGGTGGCCTTGTCCCAACACAACACCGTGCCTCAGTTCCAAGAAAGCTTCGCTGTGTGAGCTGATTAGATGTGGGGTGGGTTTGGATCCCTCCTTGGACGGGTTAAATTCTCCCACTGCTGCCTCCTCTAGGCACCTAAAACCTGTTTTAGGTTTCACCCTTATTCCCCTGTTGATTTTTCCATCTCCAGCAGTACAGAAGTTGCCCCTCCTTGGTCTCTCATAGTCCCCTCCTCCGCCAGCCATGTCCCACAAGCACAAAAATGACTCCAGGCTGTGGTGAGCTTTTCTCCAAGTTGAGTATACCTCTGCCTTTGCCCTCCAGGTGAACAAGAGCCCTTCGCTCGAAATCCTTCCCGCGATGCTGTTGCTGCTGCTGCTGCAGGTCTTGGCGAGCTGCCTCTGGCTGGCAGGCAGCGAGGTGGTGACATCCTTTGAAAGTTCATGCCCTCAGTTTTTCTTCCGGGAAACCCCCCCAAATGAAGCCCTGCAGCCCGAGAACCCAGCCTGGATCTGCCAGAATTACAAGAACCAGTATTATTTTGCCACCTTGTATGACAGGAACAGGCGTATTCCTGTATACTCTGCTTACCTCTACCAGCCTGGACCTGGCACGAGACCTAAAACATGGCTGGTTGAACCCCAGGTGAGTGTCCTCTCTTACAGCACGTCACCCTCTAGTCATTAAAAGATGAACTGCAGCATTTAACCAAATATTTCTTTCTTCTCCCACCCCCACACACATGCAAATGGACCCACTGGATGGGATTCATCTCATCTAACTTCAAACACCTTCACCACACGATTCCTCTGATGCGTCTGAGACATCAGCAGGAGGGTGAGATGAGTCATATCCTGAAAGTGCCCATTTTTCCTCATTGACCTTACAGGAACATTAAGTCAAATTATATTACATTACATTGCATTAATTTACTTTAAATTAAGTCAAATGCCCCCCCTCCCTGTCCCATGCTGTGGTGGGGGAACAAACAATGGGGAAAAGACATCCAACAGCAGCTAAATTTGAGGGACCGACTGTGCCGGGCCCTGAGCTCCACTTCGCCCTGAGCTGTTTTGCATTCCTGGCATAGCTTATTTGCTCCCAGTTAAGAGTCAATTTGGCTTTGTAAGCGGTGTGAGAGAAGTGCGGAGAAAGTCAAGAATTGGGTGGGATGACACAGTGAAAAATTCTAGGCAGAGGCACTCCGAGATGAGAGAGTTAGGTTAACACTGGGTGAATTTATTGAGTGTTCAGACAGTGAAAAGTGAGTTGGATCAGTACCAGTCAGAAGTGCATGATCTCCATCCACCTGCAGTTGCCCCTTACCACCATTGCCTCAGGGTTCAGAAGGACCCACCAGACACACAGATCTCTGCAAACTACAGAGCCCTCCCAAACATCCTTCTGACAAACTTCAGACCTTCGGTAAAAAAGACCAAGCAAATTATGGAACAGAAGAAGAGGAAATTCAGGTCATTGCTGGGGGCACAGTAGCAGTAGGGAATTTAGGTGAAAATGAGCCACAGAAGAAAGCCATATGCCCTGTTCCAGAGGACGGCTAAATATGTTTCCGTAAATATGAACAGAAAGGTGTTATAGTTATGAAAGAAAGCATTCACACTTGTTACTCATAGGAACTCAAGCAATTAATCTGGTGTTGCACCACTGCAGCCTCCACATTTAGAGAGGATAAAAACTTTTCTCTTTTCCTCTGGGACCATAGCCCCAGGCCATCTGTGAAATCTGTGATTTTGTTAACTTTCTTCAGATGTCTTTTTGCAGTATTTAGGTTCCCCTGGTCTCTTGGGGGATGATGAGCTCCTTTAAGAGGCTGATCATTTCTAACTTACGTTCAGTGATGCTGCAGAAGGAACACATCTGTGCTCCCTGGCACAGATCAGCTCTGAGATGTATTATTAGGACTGCAGTAGCAGATCCCACTTGGATTGAGGTATTTTTGCTTACTGAGCAAAAAGCTTCACCTTCGCAACGAACTATAGCCCTCCCAGGGAAACCTCACCTCTAGGACTGGTTTCCCAACACATCTGCCTGTGTATGGGATTAGAGAAGGCAAACACCGGTGTTTCAGGAGTGTGATACACCTGCAGCAGCCACACATACTTCTTCCCAAGTGAGGGGCAAAGCAGGAGAAGAGGAGAAGGGGTTGAGTCCTTCTCATCTTCTCCTGGGAGTCCTGTGGGCTCCACGGCTCTTCTACTCATCCTCTTCCTAACCTGTCCACCTTCAAGGACTCCCTAAGACCTTCAAAGAGGATGTCTGTGTGCTTGTTTTGCCTAAGCTTGTAAAACACTAGGGTGTTGACAGATTGGATTAAAAAAGGCATGAAAACCTTCCATAGAGACTGAGAGAACTCTGGTGGAAATGGGTCTGAAGGGAGCAAAGGCCAGGGCTGATGATGGCGTGATTAGATGGAGGTGATAAAGGTTGGATGTGATTAATGGGAGTGCGAAGAACTGGGGTGAGCCCTGGGCAGATATGGAGAGGGGAGGAAAGGGAACCAGATACGGCAGGGAAGATGTCTTGCCAAAGTCACCTTTCAAACCTGGGAGTGGAAAATGCTCATTGTCTCATGCATCTACCCACACTCCCGCTGCAGGCTGGATTTCAAAGGTCACAAGTCAAATTGAGGGCAGTCAAATTCTGAGCTTTCTTTTTTTTTTTTTTTCCCCCCATCTCTTGTGTTCATCAGGGAGGGGCAGCTTTATGATTTCTTTCTGATTCATGCATTTTCATACACTGAGATGACAAAAAAAAAGGTGCTCAGCACTCAGAGACTTCTGCTTCAGAGAAACCTGCTCCATTTCTCCCATCCCCAACACTAACACCTTTTCCTCTTTACCTATCAAGCTGATGAGTCCAACTTATCCCAAAACTATGGAAAGAGAGTGGACCCTCTTAAATTATTTCAGCGTCAGCTTAGACCAACTCAGCAAGAGCCAGGCTATCCTCAAAGACTATAAGAACCTGACAGGTTTGAACCGTGGCCATTTGAACCCCAGCAGCCACCACCCTGACTCCAGCAGCAGGACGGCTACCTTCACCCTCACCAACATAGTGCCCCAGAACGAGAAACTCAACGGAGGTGCCTGGAACAACTACGAGCAGCAAACAATGACCAGGAGGACCCAGGGCTGTAACACTACCTACGTGGTCGTGGGTGCCGTGCCTGGGAACAACTACATTGCCAAGGGGAGGGTTAATAAACCCAGCCACATCTGGTCGAGCGCCTGCTGCGAGGTGGACACCCACCGCAGGAAGGCTTGGGCGGTCATTGCCGAGAACGACAAGAACGAGGTCCAGCTCCTCACTCTGGGGGAGCTGGAGGATGTGTTGACCCAGCTCTATGGAAGGGACCAGGTTTCTCTGTTTCACAGAGACTGTCCCCGGGAATAAGCCCCACTTCACATCCCGCGTGTAAAAAGGCTCGGGACCTTTCGCCTTATGTCCTGTGCAGCACCCATCCTGCTTCCTTCTCTAGTGGTTTTCCAGCTCTGTCTCTCAGAGCACCTCCTCCTCCGATAAAAGGGAGAAAGAGGTCAGCAGAGCCTCCAGCTGGTTTCCTCCCCTGCCCACCCTTGGAGGGAGCTCTTAGGAAGAAGTCTAAGGACCGGCAGGCTGGGCTACAGCCCCTGGGCAAGGAAAAAAGATCTTCTCACTGAGACTAGAAGGGCTTTGCCTTTTTTTGCTTTTTGCTTCATGCCCATATAGAGATCATAGTTCCTTCCTCTCCTCGTTAGGTATCACTGATAGTCTGCTGCTGACTTGTCCCTCACCTCCTTAGGAAGGGTGTGGGACAAGGGTGGCTCAGGTTGCCCAGAGAGGTTGTGGAGTCTCCATTGCTGGAGATACTCAAAACCCAACTGGACACAGTCCTGGACAACCTGATCTAGTTGACTCTGCTTGAGCAGGGGTCTGGACTAGAGGATCTTCAGAGGTCCCTCCCAACCTCAACAATTCAGTGATTCTGTGATTCATCCAGGGACAAGGAAAGCAAAGAGCCCAAGGATTGCTGAGTCTGTAAGGTTTATCCTACAAATACATTCTGACCAACAGAGCCAATGACAACAGCAAAGGATAAAGGGAGAGAGGAAGGTGGAAAGAAGAAATACAACTATATAAGCATAGGAAGAACATCCCAGCTCTCTTGAGGTCTGTAAATAAATAAAACAAGGAGAAGGAAGCAAATAACCTACATCTAATCACTAAGCTCCCTAACCCTGTGCTTACGCAGAGTCTGTGTTTATGTAAATTTGCTAGCAGGTTTTTGTTTGCTTGCTTTTGGCACCTGCACCCTGAGAGCAGGAGCTGAGGTACCAGACAATGAGGCTCAGAGATCAGATATACAGCAAGCTTTGACCATTTCTGTGATACACTGGTTGGATAATTTCATTCTCTGCTCTGCTTCTGAACCTTTTCTGCAGATTTATGTATAACTGATTTTATGGAATGCATTCAATGGGTATAAAAGATCAATGTATGCTATATAATTTAGTTCCTGAGTAGTTTACAATAGAAATTATTTTCTTCAGTGCTGGATCATAGGGTCACCTTACATATAAACAGAAGTTGCTTCCCACTGAAATTTCCACTGCTAGTAATGTCTTAGTACCCATAGCATCCTTGCAGGAGGTATGCTGTCCAAATCCAATCTGAAGATGCCATAACACCTACAAAAGCGTCACCGTCAGACTCCAGTTACTTTTCCTATGAGTGTGCATGAACAAAGTGGATCATGGTGCAAATGACTCATACGAACTGTCTCACAGAGATACCAGCTTGAGCCTGAACTTCTCAGCTTGGGAGCTGTTCATCAGCCTACTGGGTCTCATCACTCATGCAGGACAAACCTCTTTGGAGGCTGCACAGAGACATGGGGAGGGCTTCAGGTGCAGAGTCAGACACCTCTATGCAGGCTTCTCTGTGGGTGCTGAGTGCCTGAGCTCTGATTGCAGCCAGCAGAGATCCAGGTGTGGCTCAGCTGCATAAGTAGAGGCATCCCGGGCCACTCGAGATGCCCTGATGTCTGCAAGACATCCAGTGGGGCTGGCTGATCTGCTGTAGGATCCTGGGGGACACCCGCACCCATCTGGGCCAGCAGCCAGAGGCCAGACCAGTTCTCCAAGGGCATCTCCAGTGTCTCTGGACACCTGAGCATAGGCAACCAGCTCCCACCGCAGACTTCTGCTCCTGTCATCTCCAGCTGCCGTGGTGAGAGCAGCAATAGCTGCTTGTGCCAGCTGTGTTGCTCAGTGTGGTGGGAGAATATTTTGCTTTGTAGGAGGACGAGGTAGGAACATCACTCACATCCCCCTTTTGCTGGGTAGCCCCTGCAGTCCCAGGTCCCCTGCCCCAATGGATTTTTGCTCCTTCGTCCAAACGCTGACACAGACCACTGATGGGGTGAAACCATCAGTGCTATTGCAGGTTGAGGGACCTCTGCAGACACCTCTGGTGTTGCTCATGGGGCTTCCCTCTGACTCGCTCACCCACCTCCTCATGCCTGCTGGGGCTTGAAACCACACTCATCCTCACCACTGCCCATCCCGTGCCCCACCGCCCCCGCTTTCCAGCCTCTGCTGGAATCCCCTGCTCCTCAACCACCCCTGTGAGTCACCCCTCCATCAGCTCCCCGCGCTCTCCCCAGGACCTTTTCCCCTGGCAGTACCCAGAAATGCTCTCCCTTCCACAGCATGCATGTAAAACACCTAGGAAGCCAAAAAAATTAAATGAATCAGCTTGGGGGCTGCCTTCCAGCAGATGCCAAAGGTGCCTCACACAGCACCCTGGCTTGGAGCTGAGCAGAGGGCTGCCCCAGCCCTGTGGTCCCCAGCTCCAGGAGCATCCTCTTAGGCAGCTTTCATCTGTGATTTTTCTCTGGTTGCTGCTGACCCAGGCTATGAACGGGGAATTTGGTGAGCCCAGAGCCAGTCCATGCATCATGTGTGTGCCCCCGGTGGGATGGGAAGCTCCTCTGTCCGCTGGGAAGATACACCTGCACTGAGATGGGAAGGTAATTTTGCAGTTTGCTCTGTGTCCGTCCATTTTTGGGGTGAGCCGTGGGCACTAGTGGGTTGCTGGTATTTTAGACACAAAGGAAAAATTATTTTGCCCAGGAGCTGTGAGGGGATGCTGGGAGCTCAACCTCGTTAGCCCTATTGCTCATTGCGTCGCTCGCTGGGGTTGTTTGAATGGGCACGCAGCTTGCAGAGGGCCCTGCCGCTGTCTAAGCTCACTTCACTGCAAAGGGCTGGATGGTGCAGTTTGCTTAGTCCTTTTCCAAAAACGCCAATGGTTCAAACTCCTTGGACTGAACATGTTGTCACATCCTGTCCCAAAAAAAGAAGGAAACAAGAAAATCAAGAGAGTGGCATCATTTAGCCTCTGCTTGAGAAAGCAGCTGAGCAAAACTCCTTTGGTGCATCCGGATTTTGAGCAGCTATAACATTTCGCAAGAGTAAATACAATATGCTTATTTGTAAAGCTCTCTGGGTGCGTCTCGGGCTGCCACATGGGGAAGGCAGGCTGGGAGCACCTTGGTGGGGCTTTGCCATCTCCTGGACGAAGGACATGCCATGTCCATCTGCTGGGTCAGGCAGGCAGAGGCTATTTGATCTCCCTGTCATCTCTTTTGTGCAGGCAACAGATGTACTGTGCGTGGTTCTGAGCAAAACACGTGCTGTTTGTGGTACGACCAAGCTGATCTCCTAGCTGGTTGCCCAGGGGGGTGCCCATCTCTTAATCTCACCCTGCAGGGACAGGCTTTTTTCCTGGGAAATGAAGCTCAAAGCCATGAGGGTCCTTCCTGAGTCTCACAGGAGGTCCCACTGGGAATTTCCTGCCTTCAGTTAAATGTGGATCTACAAAAAGGAAAAAAAAGTATCATTTCCATTGACCTAACTGCTTTTTCTTGCTGGGAGCTAGTAGAAGAGAGGAATGTTCAGTTTATTGAAAAACAAGCAACATCTCTATTTTCACATGTTACGCATTGTTGTTGCAAGGTCACCAAATAATCTGGAAAGCCTGGAGACTTGCAAAACAATTCCTCCTCTTCATTCTTCATCCAAATATGTGAAATATTATTGTTGGCCAGTTAAATGGAGGAACAACGAATCACGGATCTTTGCATCTCTACAGCATCTTCTGTCTTGTCTTTCTTGAATCAAAGAGTTAAAATCATAGTCAGCAACTTCTAGAGCAAAATGCAGTGTGGGATAAACAGAAGGGCCCTGAGTATATGAATTAGAGGTTTGAGATAGCAGAAAAGTCTGTTGAGAGCTTATAAAAGGGGAATGGCACCGTGAAAACAACTGGGTCATTGAACATATTTGCATAGAGGTAGTAAATGAGTAGACGAGGAAAAGGAAAAACTTCTGCCAGACCAGCCACAAACTGGGCTTGGAGGAAAGCTTCAGCAGGAATTAAAACAGACATCTTAGATCTGATGTGGGGGAATTAATAAGATTTTAAACTGGGGAAGAGAGGGAATAGGAAAAACACGTGCTGAGTTCACACTGAAAGGCTTTGTGCTGTGTCTGTACTATTTTACATAATTCCCAGGATATTTGCTGGGAATACTTTTTTTTCCACATGCCATAATGATATCAGGGAGATTAATATTTTCAGATCCAAGATGCCAGGTCTCCTGCTATGAACTAATGTTTGTTTTCTAAGCATCACCTTGGCTTCTGTAAAGTACTTATAATGTAAATTTGCACTCTGTTTCTGACAAATTACACAACCGCATCTCCTTCACCAGTTATGTTACCTGAATCTAATATCTTTCTGAGTAACCTGCTCACATTTTCTTCATTCAGTAAATGAAGACTTGGTTTAACAAATTGCTACATGCATAAACTGTAAATAGCAATTTACTCCTGGGGCTTTGCGATCTTACGCTGAATGTTCAGAGCACAGGACCGGGACTGAGACTGGTTTACAAAGTCACCTCAGTGCCCCCATTTCCAATCCATAAAACAAAGATAGAATTATTTTCATTTTACTGTGCATTGTAACTTAAGGCTAAAAAGGAGAGTATAAAAACCTTCAGTTTTATTGTTTTCCTCTTACACTGCCCTAAATCAGAACTTTACCAAGGATTGAGGGAGTTTGAGCAGCATGAAAACACTAAAAGTTGGAGGAGAGAGAAACCTTTGGTTTTGAGCAGAGCGAGCTGGAAAACAGGGCTCCTCATGCACAGGAAATTTTGTCGCTTCAAAATGTGGTTTCAGTCTGAATCAGAACAAAACCCCAAGAGTTTCCAAATTCCCCTTGAAATGGAAATTCTGAGAATTTTGGTCTGGAAACGCTGAAGCAGGGTGTTTCTGATACCCACCTCCCGCCCCAGACCCGCGGAGCGAAATCGACTTTCTCGTCAGCTTGCAGCCGTGCTGCCACCAGCTTCCCCGTGGAGGTGGGAGGTTTCCTGGGGGACACCTACGGTGACATCTCCCCGGGAGCCTCTCCAAAAATCGCGGGAGTCCGAGCATTCGTCTGGGAGCCCTCATCCCTGCTGGGCTTCTTGGGGGTTGCACAGCTGGGTTCTGGCGGTACGTCGGGTGGTTGGAAGGGCTGTGTTAGGAAGACAGAGGATGGTGGAGGTTGGTGGCAGGGAAGAAGGACCAGTTTCGTTTCTTGAAAAAAGCCCCAAACCATTTACGCGGCAGTACTTTGCCCTGCAGCCGTGGACTGCACCCTCCTCCCTCATGGACCTCCCCCAGTTGGGATGACACCTTGACAGAAAGGGTCATATTTGGTGTGGGTATGTATGCCACAGCTTTCAAAATGAAATCTAGTTAGGGAATATCTTCCCCAAATTTCTTCTGCAGAAAGACTGGAGGAGAAAATAATTAGACACCTGGAAATGACTGGTGGAGCTGGTGCTTGCTGGAGTCCTGAAGTCTTTGCTCACATGCCTTTATACTCCCCAGGTGAGCACATATTTGCCCTGCCATGCTGTTATTCCTACAGAAAAATTAGATCTAGAAAATATGTAAGTAGCTGGAGTGTTAAGTCTGTGACTGAGAGGCAGATCTGTACTGTTTTGCTGCCTCCTTGCACTCCTTCTCAACCTTGCCTTATATCTACTGTCTAAATTGTCTAAGACACGGGCCATTTTTGGCCACTGAACAGTACTTGTGCATCACATCCCCACCTATTATTATTTTTTATTTGTCATTGCAACCAAAAAAACTTGCTTACATTTAAACTTAAGAATTTTTTTTTTCTTAGCGTGGCAGGAAATGTTTTTATCAGGTTTCTTCAGCGATGCATTTACAAAGGTGAGTGACAGATTCTGCAAGTATTCATGACTTCTAGGGCTGGGATCCGGCTCACTTATTGGGAAGTCTTATAGTAGGTGTTTACACGTGGGGGTAATTCTGCAGGCTGGGCACAAACAAATCATGCTGCTTGGCTCCCAGCTACCCATGCAGAGGAGGACAGGCCTCCCATAGGTCCTGTGTTGTAGCTTCCAGCCCTATGTAGATGTCTCCAACACCCCTGGGTGTCTCAGATCATGGCAGACACCTATCTTTAGGCAACCAGATCAATCTGTAGGTGTTTCTGTATGAGCTGCTGTCTGACCTCCCAGTAGAGTCAATGGTTGATATGGTCCGTGGGGTCTGGAAAACTATTAAACCTGGGTGGACACCTGCATTTGATAGCTGAGTGTCTCTAGACTACTCTTATCTCCACTGTGATGGGACCAGCTCACATGGAGATGCCCGTATGAAGGCACATATGATGACACATTGCAATGTGCAAGCTGATTCTTACACTGCAGACTTCTGGAAAAACACATTTCCTCACACTTGGGTTCCCGGCCATGGTATAAGAGTATGTGTATTTCCACCCCTTGGGATGGGTTAGGGTTAAGGGAGCTGCACTGCCCTTAGATTGTAAAAATCTATTAATTGCTTCTATTATCTGTTTTGGAGACATCTTTGCCAGAGATCCTTGTGCCCAAATATTTTTAGTTTCCTCCTGCATTTTAAAGGTTAGCTGTGACAGTACACGTGTGAGCTTTAGCACAGGTCTTCAGAATAAACCTTCCTGTAACACGTTCCTGAGTTTGTCATACCTTTTGCTAAAATGAGAGGGTAACGGAAAATAAATCATGTATTTTTCAAAGTTGAGATCAATAGCAAGAAGAACAAGCTGCCTTTCAAATATCCAGAACAATTTATTGTTATAGTTTATTAGTTGTTTCATGCTGAGGAAATCAAAGTCTACAAAATAAAAATACCAACCACCAGATCTCATGTAAACAAATGAGAGTGGCCATGGAGAAAGCACAACAGTGACAGTGCCCCTTTGGCCACAGCCTCTTCCAGCGATGGGTCCTACTGATTTCTACTTGCTCTCTGCTTGTTGTATTGAAGGCTCAAGCCTCAGACACAAACATTTCCCCCGAGGGCCAACAAGCCCTACCGAGAGGTAAAGTACAGCTCAGCTGAGAGTTACAGCTTCCCGATAAAGAACAAATACAGCTCCCATGCTAGAGGTGACCTGGGTTCAGCCTCTCTATAGTATTAATAGCTAGAAAAATTAAAACCCATAATAGTTGTCCAGTCTGTAACCCACTACTGCTTACAGGTCCCTTACTAGCAGTGTGTCTCCCTTAATTTCCAAGAAACGAAGGCAAAATGTGGAGAGAGAGCCCCTGAGCCAAGCTGGCTAGGAAAAGGAGGAAAAACCACTGGAGCAGTGGAAGACATATGATTCTGCTCTTGTTATCTGCATAAAAATGTGCATGCTAGGAGCAGATGAAATATTTGCCTTCTCCAGTGAAATGCCCTGAGCAGGACAAACCATGCCAGCCTAACTGCAGCAGTTAACGGAGGTATGTTAGCAATAAGTAATATGTATCGACCGAATGAAGCAGAAAAGCTTAGTAGCACTGCTTGCAGCCTTCAGAGCAGCTGACAGGTGTGAAAACCTATCATCTATTGCGTGAATACAGATTGTTGTTTGCTTCCAGACATAATAACAGCATGTAATAGACCATTACATATCCATCTTTATAAAGATACGTAGTACAAATAAGTCCTATTCCAACAGGAATTAAAAAAGCCAGGGGAAGTATAAATATCAAGGCTATGGAGTGAGAATAACTCAACAGGAATACAAACCAGTAAAACAATGACACATACACTCTATCACAAAATAGAAAACTACACTAAGATCTCCTGCCTCCTGAATTACGAGGAAGGGATTCATCCCATTTTGCTTTTGTCATATGCTATGTAAGCATCTATAGCTAGTCTGGTCAATCTGGGCATCGTTTAGAGTCAATACAGAGAAACAGGTGCCTTTAGACCATGAGTCATTTGGCCTGTATATATACATCTCTGTGTGTGTATATGTGGCATAAATAAATAAATATGCACATACACACATATATAGGCAATAGGGTGAGGCGAACAGCCCTCTAAAGGGACTTATTCCTCCCCATTGTCTGCCTCAGACAGAGATGCTTGCATTTTATCAGGTGAACCCCATCCTGCCAGGCTGAACGTGGCTAAAGAGAGGCAGAAGACTACTCAGACTTCACAAATTCCTAATAATATGTGTCAAGTATCGTGGATGCTTGAGTCTGTCCTCAAATGCCTTTGCGCTAGGTTCTTTGGTGCTCTGCAGCTACGAAGGAGCTGTCAAATTAATCAGCTGCCACAATCTGCAGCATCCTTTTCTGAGCTGGAGGAATAATGTAGTAACTGTTGTGGAAGGGGCTGGTCCAAAATAATTGGGAAGAAGAGGGCAATGACAAATGCATGTGTATAGTGAACCATGAGGGAGTAAGATCTTCAGCTTACGTGCAGAGGGTAAATGTGTTTGATTTCCTTTTCCAAGAGGAGCAGTGTAAGGAGGAGAAAAGTGTGACTGGCTGCATTTGACCTGTCTGGGTAGGGAAGGGATGGGGGGACATCAGCCATCCAGAATCTCTCTTTGCGGGGAAGGAGGCATGCGGGCTGTGATGACGGTGCCATCATCAAACGTACTTGGGTGAGTGGTCCATATGTATAGCTGGTCGCTCGGCAGAGGCTGCGGTTATATTAGCCATACATCTGCTATATGGCGGGAGGAGGAGAAGTGTTTTGGGGAAGCAGTTTCAGGCAGGGCTCTTTCCCTGTCTGTCCGTGATGGGGTACAATCCCTCTACCTGCACTCTGTAGGTGCAAAATTGCTGTGTCCCCAGAAGAATTAGGCTGTAATATTTTCTGCCTCCTTCACGTGTTGGATTTGAGCGTCCAGGCTTCCTCCTCATTTGCCACTGCTGGTCTTGGAGTCGCTGGTACAATCTGTCACTGGTTTCTTCTGTGGCAGGTCATCGATTTCATGAGTTTGGATCTGAATGCCACAATTCCCTAAGAAGTTTTCTCTACAGAAGGAAAAAGACTTTAGTGCAGCTGGGAAGAGGCAGGTTTTCCATGGCTTCTTCTATATTTACTACGAGAAACCACACAGTACTTTTTGCAGAAGACACCACTTAGGGTCTCAGTTACTATTTCACCTGGTATCAGCCATCTCATCATTTGTTCCACCACAGAGCCAGTGAAATGTCGATCATTCTTGACAATTTCTCACCTATCATATTCTCAGAAATCCCGCAAAGGCAATCTGCACCATGGCTGACCATCTTCACTAAAACATGTTTCAATGCATTGTCTACACTTTCTATGGCTTTATCCTATCGTGAACTAGCAAAACAACACTGCTGGTGTGGTTTCACAAGGTCCTCCCCTCCTCCTTTTCGAGAAAAATCCCCATTTAGCTGAGAAGCAGAGCCCATCAGAACTTAGTAAGGAGCATGAAGAGAAATGGGGATGAGGATTAGCAAAGAGAGAGGAGAAAAGAAGAACTCCCAAATGTCAAATTGGATTAAGTAGGCTGGGGAGCCTGTGAACAGGAGGAGCCTTGGTGCATCTCAGTGTAGTAATAGAAACAGTGAGGAGGCCAGACTAAAATAAGTTTGAAGTACAAAGGTGTCATGATGTGACTGAGAAATCAGGAGGGTGAAGGAAGAAGAATTACGTGGTTGTGGTGGCGTATGCTCCACCAGACTTCCCACAGGTTAGCCAGAGAGAAAAAGATTGATTGCGTAATCTATCTGAAACCAACATATTTGCATAATTAACCCTAATTTCCCCACAGGATTAATTTTCCACTCGTTATTTGAACTGCCATTCTGAGTTCCACAATGACTGGGACAAAGCAAGCATGCTTTTTGATTTCAAAAGCTCTGATTCCTTCTTTTCTTATGCCAGTATTTAATAGCTGAACCAAACAACCCAAAATCCAGGGTCATTTATTTAATTCCAAAGAAGGTATTCAGAAGTCTAAGCAGTGCAATAGTGAGATGGCTGATCTTCCACTGCTAGGGATTTTTTTTTTAGATTTCACATTTTCCTGCTTCCGTCCCACTTACCGTCTTCTCTGCTTGGTGAGTCACACAAAGACAGCAGGAATGATAAGCAGAACAAAAAAGATATCTGTTAAAACAGAAAATCAACATGGTTAGCACCTGGTGTTATCTTAATTATTGCAGTTACTCCAACTGGGAGAAACAGGCAAGACCTGGGATAGGGTCTCATGTTGCCCCTATGCCCAGAGGCAAGAGTTCTTCCATGTTGCCCCATGGCTTTCCTCCCTGGGGCAAACAGGACCCAGCCAGAGGGCACCTGGGCAACTAGAGATTGACCGCAGCCAAATAACCAGGGACTACTGATGCTGCGGTTCTGGCATAGTTTGCAACAATCCTCTTTCCCTTCCTTTATCTCACTCCATTATTCCTCCTTATTATAATGTGCGCCACAGTTGTCAGCAGACTCCAGCTGGAATCAAGAGCCCTTGTACAAAGTCTTGAATGTATGCACAGTAAGAGACAATTTCTATTTTCGCAGCTAATGGCTAAATGGAAGATAGGGAAGGGGGAGAAGAAAAATCTCTTCAGACTGATCGAAACGCATCAGTTTAGCTGTGAGGAAATATTTTATTTGCCCATCTTTTTTTACTCCTTGGAAAATGTGAAAGAAACACATCATTTAAATATTTACATTTTTTCCTGGTTTTTTCCAGTTGAAGTTATTCACTGAATTCATAGAAAGTCTCAGAGAAAGAATCTGAAAATTGCTTCATTTAAAAACTAGACTTTTGGTAGATCTATTTTCTTTTACATCCCTTATGAGTATTTGAAAACTTCCTTATAAAAATCTTAAGTGCTTAAACAGTCTCTATTTACACTTTTCTTACTGACTTCTCACCCAATACAAGGACATAGATGTGTCTTGCAGTGTATTTATTAGCTCTTATAACAGATATGGATCTCTCTGGTAGAACAGCAAATTGAAAGGCAAAGTAACTTCTCTGGGGGATGGAGTGAAGTCTGAGTCCAATTAACAAAATGGCATACCTGTCACTGGCAGTATCGCAGATGAGGAAAAGGGTGGATGAGTCGAACCTATGAAGAGAGAGAAATTCTTGATTTTTGTATCGATTTGCTTTTCTAGTGAAGAGTATCAAAGCAGTGATGAGGATAGAGTCAGGCAAAGAGCCAGCTCGTTCCAACATCGAAGCAGTGACGAGGGTAGAGTCTGACAGCTCTCCCTCTGCACAGAAGACTTAATAATTGCCATGTTTGTTTCTTGGCCATCAATAGATGTTTCCAGCCTGGATATCAACATATGTGCTGATCTGATATCTGTTAATGGTGGGCATGAAGTGAACTGTATCTTCCAGGGAATGGGATCCAGCTCATATGAAATTGGGAAGGTTGACTTTCAAGGTGCCAAGCTAGGATTTGGAAACATGGCTTCAAACAGGACCTCTTTTTCCCCAGAAATGTAAGCCAAAAATTCCCTGGTGCAAGAAATTAATTTAATTTTTCCCTTATCCTGAAAAGGAAGCTCTGAACTTGAGCCAGTATGAGATATGGACAGATTTTTAACAGGAGGTCCTGTAAGAGTGGTCTGTTGATAAATCTCTTTGTGCTGAATGCTGGGGGGAGAACTGAGAAAGGGGAGGATATCCCTTATCCAGCCCCATAAAAGACATCACATCATAACAAAGAGAAAGGCAACATTTGGGGGGAATAAATATTTGGTGCACTAATTACAAAGACCTGACCTTGGTCAGGTTTGAGTGTACTTTTGCAGGAAACTGGAATTATTCTGTTGAATTAAAGGCCAAGATGGCCTATTTCATCATCCATTCTCATGTCTTTCATAATCCTAACTTTAAAATTTCAAATATTTGTAATCTCTGACTATTCAATAGGTTGTATCATTTTCTAGGACTGGTATGTTGATGGATTATTTCCATCATAGCAAGAAGTTCCTTCATCCTGATAGTACCAGTGAAATTATCAATGGAAAAAAAGTGACTGTTGTGAAGGAGGAGGCAAGACCAAAGAACAAATTGTGACTGCTGTATCTGGAACACACTGAACTGGGCATCCCAAGGAAACAGACGGATCTGTAAGGAAGGGGAGAAAGTCCTGGGTTAATGCTGAAAGAGTGTGTCCAGTGAGTAAGGTGATTCATTCTTGCAGTCAGAGCAGCAAGGAGAGGCAACGATGGCCAAGTGTCACCTGAGAGGTCATCTGCATGCAAAAGGCCTGCCCAAACCATCCTGCTCCACCATATGGCCTGGTATGGGTCACAAGGGCTGGCATTCATCTCACCTACTGTTATGTAGACGTGGCCTCTGAGATGATAGTTACCTGGGATCTGCTATAGCCACTGGGGAGAAACAAGTTTTTATAGGATGCAAGTCATCCATGCTAAAATAGACGTGAAATACGGCAGCTAACACAGCACCGTCAACACCTATTCCCATCTGTCAGTTATAAAGGCAGTCCAACTCAGATGTAGGCATCTATGCAATAGATGTCTACAGTTCTGCAAGATTAATTTCCTCTAAAAGGCCCAAGTACTGGTGAAAATCAGATTTTTCCACCCTCAGTTGGTAGGAAAAGTCCTCTCATGTTGACCTTGCATTGGCTGCCTGTAAAATTCAGCCCACAGCACTCCCCTACCTCAGGGGAGGTTGGGAAGATAATGAAAGCCTGAGGACAGCAGAGATGGTGGACATCTGACTCCGTCCACCTACAATGGCTCTGCCTGCCACCCAGAAAGGGGCCAAGACCCTCAGTGATATCACAGATACTTGGGAAAGGGGCTCTGTTTTCTCTCTGCATATTGAACTCATGCATTGTAGAGTTAGGAGAGATGCCATCAGAAAAGGTGGGTAATTTGTGTGGGGTAGAGGCCATGAAGGTCTTTTTTCTTGCATTAACCTATCTAAGGGCATAAAAGCAAGAGGTAGACGTTCCACAGCCTCACTTGAGAGCCCTGCTTGTTCCCTGAGCAGTGAAACTCCAGCTGCCAGACTGCAGTAGTGCATGTCCTGCTGAATCTGGGTCCATAAGGGCTACGGTGCAATATTGGTGGGCTTTTTGCTGTCTCTTTGTTCAAAACAGCATCCTAGGTGTTAAATTAAGAACCGAGCCACATCACTTAGGTTTAGCTATGGACTAGCTAAACTCTGGATCCTAAAACCCTGAGCAATCATGAGAGATGCTTAGATATACTTTTTGGAGTACCTTACTGTGAAGTGACAATAGATGACCTATAGCTGCTGGGAGGCAGGAAAAAGAGAAGGCTTATTCTATTTTCTTCCCAGTATATGAGAGAGTGGCTCTATCTGCTCACAAATTCCTGCAATTTTGCAGTTAGTATGAAAGGACACCCAAGACAAAAGTAGGACGCAGCTACGTCCTCCCCAGAGATGTCATCTCCATCAGTCAGAGATGACATCTCCATCAGTGTCAGAGCCCTGAGGTCACTGATCTCTCCATCCTGAACCCCAAGCAGGTTGTTCCCTAGGACTCATGTGCTGAGTTGGGGGTTCTGGACCCTACATGAGCAGGTCATGACACCAATGTGATGCCAAAGCAACCATCTTACCTGGTGTAATAATCTGTGTCGGCCACCCATCACTGTCATTGGTGCATCGCACGTCAAGATGGGTCCAGATGATTTTGCCATTCACCTTCTTGCACGTGCTGGTGCCAGAGGTGGGGGATTGCTTATCGTAACCGCTCTGGCATTTGAAATGTAATACTTGCTCCAGGTAATAATGGGCGTTCTGGCTTAAAGAGGCATGTGGAATAGTCTTGGGAGGACCACAAAAATCTGTGGGATCACAAGGCAGCACATGGTTAAAGCAGATAGATTTTATCTACTGCTTATGTTCTTGAAACATGATTTGTGTTCTTGCAAAAAGTAGACAAGCAGGATATAACAAGCCTTCCTAATTCTTTGTTAGGATATAAAATACTTATTCACTTACACCGTATCACTTGTTCAGCCTAGGTATTATAGCAATTGTTTCTTTCTCTCTGCCTGTCAAAATAATTAAAAATTACTTATAATTCTTACACTGCTTCCATGGAAATCAGTGGAAGAAGCATCACAGTAATGAATGGGCTCTTACCTACCTTTCTGGTCAAACTCTGAAAGGCTTTCTTGCCTCTGGGGTGCAGGGCTCTCTGTTTTGTTTTCTGGCTTCTGTGTAAAATCTAATTCCATCATGGGAGCCGTTGACAACAAAATTGTCTCATCTGTGGGAGAAGTTATATTTGCTGAATTACAGCAGGATGAATAGCGGAGCAAAGTCAGAGCACCCAAACTTTTAGAGGCAGGATAGAATTGTTGCAATTTCCAATTTGCAAAGATAAGCACAAAAGATAATTTGTTAGAGCAATGCCCAGATGTGTCTTACACAGACTAACTCATTGGAAAAACACCTCTACAAGTGTAGTAAAAGGACAATAATCACTTACTAATGCATTCAAATTCCTTGTAGACCCAAGAAGCAACATGCTGTGTACTCTGACACCTAATTCCCGGGTACTGTCCACTTCTTCGCTTGTAGCCACTGTCACATTCATAATACAGTCTGGTCCCCAGTGCATATGTATCAGCAGTAATATCAGCAAATTTGGTCCTTGGAAGAGGTGGGCATTTTTCTGCAAAGAGAAAGCCTGAGAATCAGGACAGCCTGTGCATCTACCTTATTCACTGAGGACTTCCCACATCTTTCTGTCTTATCAATACCAGATCATGCCCAGAGCTCAGCAAAGTAAGCCTAATTCTGCTCCCAGCCACAGGGCTGAAATCACAGCTGAGGGATGAAACTGGATGTCATGAAGGGAACATGAGGGTAGCAAAGCTTTGTTTCTTTGATTGTCTCTAAGCCAAGGAGGGGCTCTGAGTGTCTGGCAAAACTATTAGTTATTTTAAGTGAACATTTTTCATTTTAATTTTAGAACAATCCCGCCATCCAAAGCCTTCTTCACGTTGGAGTTAGTTGTTGCCATTGATTTTTTTAAGTACAGGTTTGTTCAGGGTGCAGAAAAATCCCTTGTGAGTGTCTCCACCAAGTGACATGAAGCCTGTATTTGTCTAGACTTTTTTAGTTAGGAGGGGCCAACGAGACTCCCTTGTCTTTCTTTTAGAAGAGAAAGGATGCTGGAGCAAGGATGTTCCGCAGCAGCTGGGAGCGGTGGTAGGAGGCACCAGGCCTATCTGCCTGCTCCTGCCCCTCCTGCCTGAAGCAGGCTGTTGAGCCCTTTCTTTCTGCACCCAGCGGATGGGCAACATGAAACACTACCAGCATTTTCTTAATGAAGCTGTATACAATCACATTGTAGAGCTGCTGCCTGCACCAGAGTGTGCAGCCCTCGCTCTATGGAGTGAGGCATAATAAGCAAAACTAAGCCATTAAAAGTTGCAAACATCGGAAAGGGGAGTAGAGTCTCGGTTCAGTCTGAGCACACCAAAATGCAGCTTACTGTGAAATAAGTTTGCAAACCTAAATATAACTTGTCCCAAAACAAGGACGTGAAGTGCTGTGTCATCAGCAAATCACATCTAAATATACGTCTCAATCAGTTGGAAGGAATTAAGTTAGATCGTTTCAGTGCACTTGAAAAGCCCACTGAAGCTGAGCTGGAGACCCAGAAGTTGATAAAGGCACTACTTAATGATTATTTAAGGCCTAAAGGCTGAGAAATTCAAAGATAAAACAGGCTGGTTGCATCAGGGCTGGCATTCAGGATCTTTCGGTGCATGATCTGTGGCCCTTTATACTTATGCATAATAGTAACAGCTATTACGAGTTAAATTCCTTCATCATCATGTCTTCACATTTTCTGCAGCCGTAATTAATGCAGCCTTAGCAACCAGCAAGAATGACTGTGAAAGAGCCTTGAATCCCTGATAGTTGTTCATCGTTTGGCATCTGTCCTTGACTCCCAAAGTGCCTTCTCCTTGAAACAAAGCCATGCCTTGCCTACAGCAACCCAGTCAGTGACTCCCAGACCCAGTCCTGTGATGCCCTTTTCTTTCAGAGCCACCCATCATTTTCTTGCCTTGATATTTTCTGCCCTTTTTACTTTCCATTATCTTGCCACTGAATAAAAGTCACAAAGTTTGAAGAAGGCAACAATGAAAAGTATTGTGAGCGGCTTAACAGCTAAACTGCGTAAGGGATATTTTAATCCCCTTGTATCTTTGTGTAATCAAAGGGTTTGCCTTGTAAACTACATCAGACTGTGGCTTGGAGACAAGCGACTGTACCCGAAATAGTTAACCACATGGTTTACCACAGACTGTCAGGGTGATTAAAATTAAAGAGTTATCAGATTAGCAGCAAGTTGAGATCATGTACTCTCACTTTCCCTGAAAGCTAAAAGCATGTTTCCCTCAAGACTTCAAAAGCCTCTTTGAAGCAGACTGCAGATCTGAATCTCAGCACGAGGCACTCAAACCTACAACTCTTTAGTCTCTTCTTCAGAAAACCCACAACATTTAGCCTACTCATCATAAAGGGCAACTGTTGTTTTAATCGATGATCAAATGAAGTTAAGGTTCTTCTGAACTTGGACGCATCAGATAGGGATTGTGCAGAAATGGTGCCCATGGGTGATGGTGAGCAATACCCACTATGCTGGTGCTCTTGGATCAACACATCCATGCTGCAGCTGCATCTCACACAACACTTCTAGAATCCAACCTTTTCATTTCATCCACATCACTCTCATTTCTCTCTTCTCACATCTAAACCATTGCAGTATCTACTTCTTTGGCCTTTACAACCACATTCCTATCTCTGATCCAGAAAGCGCTTGGAAAGATGAATTTCCTACGTCTCATTGTGACCTTCTGTTTGCCTCCCTCTGTTGACTTCTAGCTGCTTCACTGTCATGTCAAATATTTCACTCCCATTTTCAAGAACTTTCTCCTTATCAACCATATCCTTTCAAAACATTGGCTTCTTTTCCCATGCTAGACCAACTCATCAACGTGTTTGCTATCAAAGTCATCAGCTTTGGGGTTTATTGTTGTACCAGTCCTTGCACTTGGAGAAGCCTTGCATGAATATGGACATTTCAAGTTGCCATTATTCCTCTTCACTGTCTTTAAATATCTTATATATCTTCAGAGGTGCTTTTCTTTAAGTAGTCTTTTACTCATCTTTCAAGAACAGGTAGGCACCCAACATGCTGATCAGTATTACTTCTGTACTTGCTTGCCTTACATTTGGATCCTAAACTTTCTGTGTTCGCCAGCTATTTGTACCACACTTACACAAGTGAGTCCTAGCTATCAGCCAGGACTCCAGGCATTGTGGCGGTAGATGTGATAATAACTCATTATAATGACTACACACTCAGTGAAGTCTATTTGAGAATGGAAGCTATAGTTTTGCCCAGAAGAGCTCCCAGTGTTTTGACATTTAGCAGCATCATAGGTCCCAGCTAATTGCAGTATTCAAACTCCCATCAGGGAAGAATAAGTATCCTCCAAAGCTGCAAAGGCCATAGATGGTGGCATATAGGCTTGCAGGGGTGTTTCATGGCACTGGACCTCTCGGGATAGCATGGGAAGACTGTGCAGAGAGGAAGCAGACCTGGTGAGGTCTGGATCATATTGCCTACATGGAATGACCTCTGGAGTGAATCATCCCTAGAACTTCATTCAATCTTTGTGCCTGAGGAGACTGCATGGTTTGCCTCTAAAAAAATCAACATTCCTGCTGTGTGGGTGATAAAAGAGCCAAGGGATGAGAAGAAGCCAGGAAACTAGAGAATGGCAGTGTACATTTACTCCTTGACTAGATTTCTGACTTTTTATGTTTTTAGGGGAGATTAACTTTGCTTTTTTTGCTGTTTCACACCTGGTTGGGAATTAGTCTGTTGATTCGTTTGAGTTGGTGTGATATGAAAATATAAATCTTACAAAGGCCAGCACACCTAGGCGTAACCTGCCTTATAGCCTCTGGTGGCCCAGTTTTGCACAGCCCAGCTTCCCTCTGCGTTCTGCCTCCCTCCACAGCTGCTCCAGGGCTACACTCCTGCTAGTATTGGTTTAAAAGACTGCCCTGACATCACCTTCAAATCTCTTGGGGTTTTGTTTGCCTCCTCATTTTCCCTCCCCACATCCTCCAATTCTCCATCCCCGTGACAAGGTGCTGCGCATCCCTATTTCCTTCTCTTTCAACCTCAATGTCCTCTGCCCTCCCTTTCCTTCATTCACAAGCTTCATCAGCCCCAACCTACCATTCTCATCTCCTACACCCCAAAAGTGCCCTATGGCTCGATTTCTTTGCACTTAGAGGTACTAACATGATGTATTGAAATGGGTGGTGGGTATTGAAGAGGGTGGTGTAATTGCGTTCATGGGATTTAGCACTGCTATCAGTTGCAGAATTGCTAGAACACGTAGCTCTCCTAAGGCAGCTGGGAATCTGCATTTCTCCCCGTAATAGTGGATTTTTGGTGCCTACAGCATTTCTGGAAATTTTGGAACCGGTTTCAACTATTATCGTATAGTGGATGGAAACATGCCCTTGGAATTAGGAGACTAGTGGGTTCAGATGATAGACATCCATGAAACATAAAAATTAAAAAGTAGTTATTGCATCTTCTGGTGTGCTCCCAAAATTAAGTTTGGTAAGTTTTCTGAGACCTGCAAGCCTTGTTATATGAGCCAAGAGATAGGTGGGATTCCTGCTATTCCTGCTTAAGCAACGGTGCCTGATGCCATTTGAGGTGTCTTGGGGCATGTGGGAGCTGTCAGATATCACATAGGAATTACTGGAGGCTGGTGCCAGGCAGAACACCCTGCCATGCCCTGTCTTTTGCAAGTTCATTGCCATGTGCTAAGTAAAGCTTAACTGTCTTTGGCTAACCTCAGCATCTAGCTTTTGGCTGCCCTCAGCATCTAGCATCATGGTGTAGGCTCAGGGGAAAGAAACCCACTAGCTAAATCACCGTCAGTTCTTTCAGTGCTTGGCTTTCTTCCCTGAGGCTTCCCATTCAAATACATTACTGACCCAACGCAAAACTGCTCATAGTAGATGTGCTGACAGTATTAGGATTTATGAAGCTCTCCTGCCTATTTCTCTTCCATGCCTGAGTTGGCAGAGCAGTGTTAGACGAGGCATCAGAACAACACCTTTTGTCCAGAAGAAGTGAATAGGGAAAACTGATAACAGGTATTTTTAGTATTAGATAAACACAGACAGTGAGTCATGCCACGATAACCTAAACTTAGAATTTCCTCTGTCATGTGGCTGTGTGTCACCAGCGCTGACATTTTTGTTATGTCAAGTTAAAAAGGCAAGGTGCAAAAATAGGACAATTTTCCCCTAAATACAAAGGTGGTAAGACAGGATCAGTAGCAAACCAGCTATCCTGAAGATCTGGGTAGAAGTAGTGGAAGAAACCAGGTACTTCACACACCTGCCTAGTTCACAGATGAAGAGAACCTCTCCCCTGAGATACCAAGAAATCAAACCATGCCAAAATGAAGACATTTATCCAGATGTGCCTGAAAAGCTAATTCAGCCCTGGGGGTTCATATGCTGCCTGAAACTATGTGCTCTCTAAATAGAGCACGTTCTTGAAGATGAAACCGATACGGGTGGAGAGAAGGAATTGATACCAGCAACTGGACTGAAACGGTAATGAACTTTTTGTAACTTCAAAACTTATTCCCAAAGGGTCCGTTAACAAGCTAACTACAGCGCTGCCTGCTTCTTTCCCCTCTGATTAATGTCATTTATTGTCTATGTGGATTTGTAAGCTGGCAATAGATCCCAGCTCTGGGCCTGGGGTGCAGACCTGAAGTTTATGGTAATTGGCCTGTGAGATTTTGATTAGCTATACTGTAGACTACACAGAGATTATTTTACAAAGTCATCTGACTAGTAATGACAGAAACATAATGCAGATGAAATCACCAGGCGCAAGTTTTAATGCAAACTGTGATGGAGGAGAGATTGGCCTGATGGGGCAGGAGATGGGTTTTAATATTCCTAGCAGTGAAGAAGAGGCATGTCCTATTCTAAGGACTAGGCAGTTCAATGCCTGCTGAGTTTTCTGTACTAGATGTTTCTGTTGGAAATATACTGGAATATGAACCAGCAGGAGCTGTCCATTAACTCTTTGTAGGACCATAGAAAATTAGGTTTGGAAGACATGCACTTCTCTTACCTCTTGGCTTAATCATGCTAACCAGCTGTTTGCCATTGACCTAGCCATGGAATCTAAAGCAAAAAGAAGTTCTATATACAGCAAGGCTAGAGTTGGTTTGAAAGTGGACTAAGCTTTCCCATGCTAAGCGTAATTTAGCCTCAGGAACCTGCCTTCTTAGCTCCTTCTGTAAGAAGCGGAGCTGGGCAGACCTCTTTAGAGGACAGCAGACACCTAACTTAAGTTCTCCAAAGCAATGCCTAAAGGTGCTTCTCTCTTTTTATTAGCTACAGTGGTGGAAGAATGCTCTTACATGCTCATATCAATAATTAGTGTGGTTTAGCTAACGCATCGATACCATTTTAAAGCTCGCTTTACTGTGAGTTCCCAGGAAAGCAGCCTGCAGATGTGTCTTCTGCTGACCCAGATGTTTCTTGACTGAATATCTGTCTCCCCTCTTCCCATACACAATTATCCCTCTTCATCACCAACTCACTCCTGTTCTAAGGCATGGACTGAGTGCCACCCACCCGACAAAAAGCAGACGTTTCAATTCCCTGTGTAGTCACTAGAAAGACGAACACAGGACATGACTCACTGCACCCTTATCTGCAATCTGGTAGATGAACTGTGCCCTGAAAGCACTCCTTTCTCTCCCCTGGCTATCAAGGGCGTCCACATGTCCAGCTCAGTAGAGAAGATGGTGCAGATGCCTGAAGTTAAATGAGATGAATCTCACGCCTGCCCTGGCAGAGAGGCTGGGCTGAGGACTTGGACTGCAAATGTGGAATTGGAAGAGGGAGCATTACAAAGAGGGAGAGTGTTTCCTAAGGCAGGGAGAGGGAGGAAAATTAGCCCAAGCACAGTGCACTGCATCGAAAATGTACGAAGTGGAGAATGGAGAACATTTGTTTTTCTTACTCTGGGTGTTTATAACCTTCTTGGTTCTGTGGTAAAGCTACATGGTATAGTAGCAGAACACAGAGTCTGGTTTTGAGAATATCATACGTGAAAGCCTTGTTTTGGTGTGACATTTGGGTTTTGAATCGGTTTGGCTACATTTTTGCTTAAATCTGTGACTTCACTAACACCCGCCTCTTCGGTATTTTCATCTAAAGGGAAAAACACATTACAGAGAAAGAAAATTGGCTTTTTAAACAGCAGCAGAAACTCAGATCCTTTTCTTCAGCTGGAGCTTTCTCAGCCTTGCCTTTTGTTGGGTTGGAAGGGCAGTAGAGAATATCCTCTCTGAAAATAATTGAACTGACTGACAAGCATGTGTCCCAGTCTTGGGTAACAGTGAAAAAAGGTCTGGTGGGACTCTTCTGATTTCAGATGTGGCTTTAACACTCATTTCATTTGACTTGTGGCCTTAGCGTGGTCATTGAGCTTTTTGCTGGAGCTCTCAGGAGTAGGATGGAAATTATTTGTTAGTGTTGATGATTTTTCTGACCTTGTAATGCAAGAAACGTTTTTCCAAATGAAGAGGGCTGTTCATTCTTTACCTGGGGGCTCGCACTTTCCAAATGGAGAACATAAAGAAAAAGCAGCAGATGACAGAGTGCTGCTACCCTGGCAGGGCTGAGGAACAGAGATTCAAGTGAAGAAAGTCATGGAATGACTTTGGAAATGTGAGTTTTGGAGAAGCATTGGAGGAGATGGAGGAGGCTGTTCCAAGATTCAGGACCAGGGTCAGGAGATGGAAACTGTGCATAGAAAACATCCAAAAGCTGGTCTCTGAAGATACAATTAATGCAACGGGAAAAACAGGAGAGACAAAGCTGAACATCGAGGAAGAAAGCAGGGAGACCAAAACTGCAATACTCTGAAGGCAATAGTGAGCAAAGTCAAAGGTAGTGGCTTTCTAGCAGTTCCTAAAGAGTGGATTTTTGCTGTGATAAAAGGGAAGGACATAACATCTCATCTCTGATGATGTAGGGAGATTTCTCCATCTGAAGGCAGAAGCAGATACTGCAGGATCTCTGTCCATAACATCTGCTTTTCCTCAGCAGGATCACAATTTTTTAACAATTTTTTTAGTAATTTTTTTTTAATTTTAGCTGTATATTGGGCACTTTGCTGCTGAGGGCCACTGAAGCTGGAAGGTTTATAAAGGCATTTGCTCTCTAGGTGACCTTACAAGAAACACTTGTATGTGTTTGACAACTTTAATTTATTCTGCATTGCATTTCAAATCCATGGGAGCGAGCACTAATATGCAAGTATAATGGGAAAGAAATTCCTCTCATTTAAATGACTGAGATCTGGTACCCATCTTGTGTGAATGAAATTCAGTTGAATGAAATTCTTTCTTTTGTGAGTTTTAATCCTTTCCAGGTTTAACTTGCAAATCTATTCAATGTATTCCTGTAAGATGAATAGCAAGATGGAAAGGTTGTAGGAGCACAGACCAGCTTTTATCTTGTATTTGACCCTCACCTAGCATACTTCAAGGCTCATCCATGCCTGCAACTTCTAGGCACTGCTGCTGTGCAGAGTAAATGAGATAAATGTGATGCTCCTCACAAGAAAATCAGCATTTCTCTTATCTTCTTTAGCACTAAGGTGTAGTTTAATTTTTACTAAATGAATGATCATCCCATGCCTTAGTTTCCCTCGATACATATCAGAGGACTTTGCCCTCTCAAAGCGCTTTGAGATCTATTGGTGAAACTGTTCTGTAAAACAAAGGCTTTTTATCTTGTTTTTCCCCTAATGGTATTTATCCCTGATCGTGCATTTTGCCAGAATCCCTCTTGCAAACAACATCTATGGCAGGATCTATTTACAAAACTGAACTTGCAGTGCTGGGATGAGCTGAAAAGACTAAGGCAAAAAAATATGAATAGCACTGTATGTTCTGAGACATACTTGATTTTTGACCAGTTTGACCTAGCCTCTTTCCCTTTTCTTTGCTTATGTCTGTCCCCAAATCTCCTTGTTGATCCCCCTAAGGAATTAAAAACAATAGGTCTTACAGCCACAATACTTCAGGCATCTCTACAATAAACCCCCCTAAACTGGTAAAAGGTGGTATTTCTACCTTAGCGTATTATTTGCAGGGAGAAATTTAAAAAATATATATAAATATTATGTTTAAACATTGGGAGAGACATTGAAAATAAATACAGGAAGCTGAATAAAGAAGAGCTTACAGTGAAGAATGCAATGCTATGCATTTATTCATTCATCAGAGAATTAAATCACATCAAATAGCATAAAATGCAACTGCTCTAACACCACGCAATTTTTTTCCAAAAACCAGAAAGATTTCTGATAAATGAGACTTGCCAGCAAGAAATCTCACAATGTGTCCCAGGCACAGTAATACAGAAAGCGTGATAGAGGGGACCTGACTCATCCCAGAACCGATCCTATTTACATATCTCTGGCTGAATGTCTCGCACTGATGCTCTTGCACGCAGCACTTAAACGCTCACCGTGGGCACTGGCACTTCATTTGGCAATGAAAATGCCCCGTGAATGAAAAGGTACAGCGTTTACTGGCAAAATACTTTAACGAGAATAAAATCACCTGGGGGTTAAATATTTGTGAAGGTACTTCCTGCATTAACGAGTTCGGTTACAAGCGACACAGTCTTCCCTTGAGATGCCCTGCCCCTAGTAAAATTCGCAGCCCTGCTAGAGGTGATCCATCAGCAGTAACAGTACCATTGCATCTGAGAACCTGACTTAGGCTTGTTTCTGCTCATACCTCCCAACCTCGACATCATCATCAGATACAGAAGGAAATATCACATTTATGGAGCAGTGAGAGCGTAAGATTTTTTTTTTCCCCTCTGAACAAAGCAGTTTAAATTCAAATACGCTAATATATCACCAGACCATTTCTCAGTGCACACACTTGTCACAATAAATAAGCCAAATATAAGCAGTATCACAATTTATAAAGTGTAAAATTCTGCTGAATGAATTAGCTGCCTCCGTTCACAGTTTGTAGGCACTACTAGTTGGGAGGCGTGGCTGAAAGAATACTTGGTATCTATAGTACCCATAGAAAACTTGGATGGCACCTTTTAACTCATAGCATTGCCATCAATTTTACCTACAGAGGTACTGACATTTCAGTGTCTATTTTTGTATTTCCTAAAGTTATATGCAAAATGGAAAAAAACAAATTCAAAGAGCTACCTACCTAAGGTGCACAAGGCTGCTTTGATCTGCCCACTGTTCCAATGATGGGTTGGAGGATACATACATTACTCACACAAAAAATATCCTGTAGTGCTCTGGGTTGTCTGCAGTTGATGGTTTGTGGGCACAAACCCCATTTGTCTCGTTTCCTTAGAATAATAAATTCCTTAAGCTCTTAACATCTTTCCTTACCTGAAAGGAATCAGGATGTTGCGAACATCCTCCAGCAGCCACCACAAAAAAAAGCAGATCGCATTTTCCCTCCCTGAAAGGCAGAAACAGTCTTTTACCTGGCTGGTTCCCCTTGACGGATCCAAACAAGAGCCACATCAAAAGGCACTTGAGCTCCATGGGACTTGTTCACATCCTTTCTCCGCAACACCGAGGATGGTGAAGTTTCTCAGAAGTGATGGGCTGGTGCCGACCAAGCCAAGGAGCCGTCTACTGCCCGGTTAGACTGGTGGGGAGCACCACCCTGCGTGCGCAGCAAGGACTTTGCTCTTTGGTCAGCAGATCATCGTTTCGCTGGCTGGCTCTGCAAGAGAGAATAAAGACTGCTCTCTGTTCAGGTATTAGTAGCTTTTATCCAGGAAATCAAACTTAATGCTCGCTGTGCCGGAGTGTGCCGTCGTGTGTAGGAAGTGGTTTGTCACATCAGAGCTACTGACTCCAGAGCTGTACCACTACAGCTGAGGTCAGTAAAAGGGGGCAAGATTTTAATGGGTTTGTGCAGCCACTCAACCCCAAATCTGTGGCTGGACAGGCATTTGGGAGGGACCATTGCTGTAGAATAGTTGTCTGGTGTGCAACAATGGACTTTCAGACACCATCCGTGGGCTCTGCCTACAAAGAAAAGGTCCCATGGGGCATTGTTTTGGCTTTTTTGAGGTCTTCTGATGACGATAAAGTCACACTCCATTCATTTTTTGATGTATGCATGCTTGCAGTTTCTCTGAGTGACAGCTGAGCTTCTGAAGGATGGACAGTTTGACCAAAAAAAATCTATGAGGATGAGGCTGGCACATTTGGAAAGGGTTTCTCTTGTTCCTAAATTGTCTGGGTTTGCCATGTTTCAGTGAAATTTGTTCTTCCAAATGTCAGCAGAAAACTGGAAATGATCAAGGAAGTATCACACTTTATGTAGTTTTTCTTCAGCTGTTTCCACAGAAATTATTGTCTGTTAGTACCTAGAGAATTATCTCACGTAGACTATGGAAAAACAAGTGTAAACTATTTGTGGTATTCTATCATGATTATTACATGCTGGACTTTTACTTGCCCTTTATAAATCCTTAATGAATGAAATCTTCCTAACAGGCATGCTAAGAAATAGAGGTGATCTATTTCTTCACTCTAAGAGTAGTGAGACACTGGAGCAAGTTGTGCCCAGAGAGGTTGTGGCTGCCCCATCCCTGGCAGTGTTCAAGACCAGGTTGGATGGGTCCTTGAGCACCCTGGTCTAGTGGAAGGTGTCCCTGCCAATGGCAGGGGCGTTGGAACTAGATCACCTTTAAAGTCCCTTCCAACCCAAACCATTCTATGATTCTATGTATGTGATACATTTTTAAATGCCGCTATGGCTGCATCCATCAGTCATAGCCACAGACACAGAGGATGCTGTTAGTATCTCTGTTCCTCACTATCAGAGACATTCCTGTCCTCACACCCGTAAGGGTGATGGTCCTGTGAAATGCAGCCGACACAAGGGACCTTCTTTCGAGTGAGACCCAAACCAGACCTTTTGGGGGCTCAGTGATGCCATATTTATGGGAGGTTGCACAAATGTGCATCTTTTCCCTCAGCATGTGGAAAGGTGCAAGCAAGACTTCAGGCAGTGCTTATGAGAGCAGCAGACAGAAGAGATGCTACAGACGCTGCTCTCCCTCTCTCCTGATAAATCTCCCTTTGCCCTTTTCATGAAAGCTTTTGTGCAGCTTCATGGATGCAGATGACAAGTCCTCTTGGAGGGTCTGTTGGCAGCAAGGCTTTGGCCAGGAGATTGCTGCCCGAACTCAAATACAACAGGGCACAGAGAACGAGTAAGACTTCTGGAGCAACTGCTGTGGGTAAAGTGCTTTGCTCACCCCGGGGCTGCTCCATACTCCACAGGTATTTACTGCCTTTGCTTTAGTACCAAATCATCTTCCATATTTAATAGCATAACAGGAAACTCTCGTACCAAAGCCCACCAAAGGACTTGGAGAGATTTTTCTCTTGAAACGTCTGTCTGAAAGTCTTAGACTCCAATTCTTCACCTTTTTCCAAGATACCTGGAGATATGCAACTGCATATGCAGAACTGCAGCCATCTGGGTTGGTAAAATGTATTTGTTACATTGTCTGGAAAGAAATCCCAGACTTTTTATCACAATTTGTCCCTTCCCTACTAAACATGGGGTGTGTTCTTTGGAGGTGCAGGTATTCACTCCCCAACATCTCCTTCTATTTCTTGCCTGGTCAAACTATTTAATTTCATAGCTGTTTGCACAATGGAGACAGAGATGGGGGACTTTTTCTGCAGTCCTTCAGCTCAATCTGCCTCTCTCAGCTATTCAGAATCCTGCCAGTCAATTAAGGATTGCAAACTCTAAACAGAGGGCAGCAGTTTGGACTGCAGATGCAGATTCTCAACAAGCTGAATTTTTCCTTTTGCTGAAAAAAGGTCTTTTTTCAGCAGGTGAGCTGAGATGCGCTCCCTCTTTCACACAGCCATTTGCTTTCAAGCAGCAAATCTCAGTGTAGGTGGATAATAGCTACTAAAATTTTATTAAAAATGGTGAGTTTTTATCCTAGCAAGAACATGCAATGTACAGTCAGTTGTTGTACTGGAAAGAACGGTGACCCCAGGTGGCTAATTGCTACAAGCACAGTTTGCATGAGAAAGACCCGTAACTCAGCATTTAGACCTTTTAAAGGTCAGAAAAAAACGGTTACCGCTTGCGAGAGCAATTAGTTAGGTCAGCTTTGTGAAATAGGTCAGCTTGCTGAACGATTCCAGGAAAAAACAGTGCTGTTTCTGCAAGCAACTGACCCAACCCAGAGCGAGGCAGAGAAGGGGAGGGTGAGACCAGAGGGACCCAGCAAAGGGGAAAGTTATCTAAGCATGGAAAAAACAGGGCTTGAAGAGAAAAATACATAATTAGCATTATAATTTAGATGGTTAACATTAGATGTTAGCCACAGAGGTGTGTGGCAATAAAGGAGGGGAGGCACTGTGAAAACAGTGGAAAATTGGGAAGTGATGGAGGGAAATAGGAGCATCTTGAGCATCTAGGAAGGTGTAGGGGGAAAAGAAGGTGCTGTTGACTTTCTTCCATTGATCACCAGAGTTTTGCTGCTCAGAGAAGTCCTCTTTTTCACCACAGAGCTGGCAGGAAAAGAGCCTGTCACATGGCCCAGGTTACCACAGACAAGATTATGAAGGTTATTTTTATACAATGCCACAAGACCAAGAAAGATGATGAAATGGAGTTGCCAGGGAGTAAAACACAGACACAGCTCCAGCTTTCTTTAGGTCTAGGTTTAACAAGGGCCTTTTGAAATCCTGCAAGTGCTTTTAAAACTCTTAGCGCACACATTTGTTTGGTCTGGAGGTCTGAGTAGCGGAGGCAGTAAGCTGATTTTACAGTGAATCACCTGGTGCAGTTTTACCTGATGGAAAAAGGCAGAATCATTTAGAAGCTGGGGAGAAAACAGAAATTCATAGATGTCTGTATCAAGATCGCCTGAGACTTAGGAGACTTGGCCTCTTTACGTCACCACCTCAAATAAAACTGAGTGGTATTAAATTTTCAGTTGGGCATTGCTTGTTTTATAAATCCAATGATGTTGCAAGCAGAAACAAGCCAGCTTAAAGAAAGGACAACGCTGTGATCTTACTGCAACCCTTCCCAGTTCAAAGCAGCAGTAAATATCCACATAACTCACTAAAATAAGCAAGCTTTGTATTGTCTTCCTTTAATTCAACTTTTCTGCCGTGAATCACTCTTACATGAGCCCTCTATTCAAGGGAATAACACTTCATATAGACCTTGCCAGGAGGGTGTGGGGGTGGCTCTAATAGCTGACTAAACTCTGTTAATCAGTATATTGCTTATATGTCCTTGAAATTATGGTAATGGTGGTTGTAAACTCACATTATTTTTTTTTTTACTGGGGAGGAAATTTATTGGGAATTTTACCTTAGGCATGGGATACAGTGCTACTGAACAGCTGAAGCTCAAATAGCTAGGTTTTGCACTTAAATAGGCCACCCTTGGCTTTCTTTACAGATTACCTAGAGGACTATGCTTAGTATTTTCAAGAAAAGTCATTAAAGATGCCATGCACAACGGTCCTTCCCATCCTCCACAGCAGCATCCAGCTCTGCTGCAAAGCAGAGGTATGGAAAAGCCCTAGTTATACCACATGCTAGAAATCATCATCAGAAATTTTCCACCCAACCTAATTATTTACAATGGCCAAACTGTTTTTAAGTGCTTTTTATTACCCATAAAAGTGAGACAGAGCTGACATGAGGCACAGAAATTCTGCATCTTAAATGGAGCATATTTGCAAGGTCAACAAGGATTTAGGTTCGAGTCAAGAGACAGTTGTGTGGTCAACATAGTTGTCAGAGTTCCCCCTTGAGTCAATGAAGAGAGTCAATGAGTGTATCTAGAGAGTGATTCACCTCCTCTTCTGGACATCTACATCTACTGGCTAAATCACCCATCCGAACTCCTCTCCCTCCCTCCTATCTGCAGACAACTGTTAAACCAGCCTAACTGCTTTAAACCAAACACAGGTCTTTTAGGCAGCTACAGCTGGATGAGACAAATCCACCCTGAAAATCCATATTGAATTTGAAAAGAGAATTTAAATTGGTTATTTAGTGACTGAGAACAGTCGTGCCTGTCAAACATCCTGGATGTGGTTCATTATACTCTTATTAACTATTCCTTTCACTGATGCAGAGTTCTGTAATAAATACGTGAGGACCATAAAACTGAAAGGGACCTTGAGGGTCCAGTATTCAATGTTGGGCTAAATCCATTAAACAAATCACTTTATGTCCTTTATCAACTGATGATGCTCCATCTCAAAAGTTGGAGGGGATGTGTGCATTGAAAGGTACCTGGTGCGATCCTGCCCCTCAGCAGGTAGTAGGAGGACTTCATCCTCCAGTCCAAAGTGGAGAGCAAGAACCTACAGCTCTCCTTCCTCTGTGTTTATTATACTTCTCACCATAGATTTCTCCATGAGTATTTGTTATACTGTGGCTCACTGCTATCAAATTAAGTATATGGGCCTTTAGTTCACATCCACAGAGAGATAGGAAATTCCCTGGTTTTCTGAAACACAAACTGCTTC